AGAGAGAGAGAGAGAGAGAGAGAGAGAGAGAGAGAGAGAGAGAGAGAGAATGTGATTAATGTATTCTTTTACATACATATGAAGTGAAAAAAAACTACTTTTTATCTATTTTGAGCCATTTACAATCTCAAGGGGTTATGTTGAAAAGAATTAAGGAGGTTAGTGATAAAAATAGATAAATAAATAAAGTATGGTGGTCAAATCGAGAAAAATGGAAAACTTCTGTGGCCAAACTTGCAATCATACTTATAGGTTTAGTATATATATCACACACACATATATAGAGACAGATGTATAGATATATCTTGCTTATATATAGATACGGATATAGAGAGAGAAAACCGCAGATTTCTATATAAACCGGATGCCAAATCCAATTGTTTCCCAAATTTGAGAAAATAGGGTGAGGTTTTTGTTGAACGAGAGGAGAGAGAGGGAGAGAAAATGGCGGATTCAAGCGATTCTGTCTCCATTGACATGGAAACGAGCTCTCTTGCAGGAAAGGTTTGCAGATTAAACCACCATTTATACCTATATTAAATGAGATTGAATGTGTATGCTTAACTTGAGGAATGCACATTTGTTTGCGTATTGTGTATTTTCGTTCGAGTTTTTGCTTTTTTAATTTTATGCAATGATTATTGAGTAATCTGCAGATACTAGCAAGATTTTCATTGATTGATTGGATAGGAGATGCATACATTTCACATTAATTTGATTCAGCGTTTTGCTTTTGATTCTTTGTTAATCAAATGAAGCTAGAATGTGTATAAAGTAATCAAAACCTGATTGTTGATTATAGAATTTCGTTTTTTAGTTTTATTTATTACTTTTTGTTCTTAAATGCGTTTTGATTCCATTTTATGTATGATCGACAACCAACTGTAAAGAAACAAATGCTTTCTTCATCTGTTTTATGCGTGGTGTTTAATTTTAGTTTGACGTTGAAGTGTAATCTACTTGTAATTATCAGAAATTTATATTTCACGTAGAGGATTTGCTTTCTTTTTGGTTAAGTTTGCTTTTCAGTGGTTCAGTAAATTTTAAGTAAACGGTAGGTAAATGTCTAATGATTCAAGAAATAATTTTTTAAAGTTCATTCTTTAACTTCTTGTTTACTATCTGTGTTTTAATCATTTTCTTTGCAAGGGGAATTTATTTGTCGCCCTCCCCCTTCTTCATATATCTAATCGCTGAGCGATATTGCTGACATCAAGGAAGTGGGGACAATTGCTGAATCGTTAGCAACATGACCTTCATCTATAAAGTTCTGTTTTCAGATAGAAAAACATTGTCAAACCTCATTCCATCTATCCATCGATGTTTGCAGTTTGGAGTTACTCTTTAACATCAGTGCAATATGAGTATTTTTTCTATGATTAATCTTGCTTTATAGTTTTCCTCACTCTCCTAGGTTTGCTGAATAAGAGAGTTCTTCGTGAAGATAAACAAATTTATAGAATTTGACGTTTATAATTTGTGTATGAAATCCTTTGTTTGATGCAAGCATTGTTGTAAGCATAGATTCTAATGCAAGGCTCTAAAACAAGTTCATAGGGCCCAAGGGTGTAATAACGTAAATGGAAGTATGCATGTAATTAGAGATCCCACTAAAACATGCATGCATCAACCAAGTGTTAATGTGTTGTCAATGTAGATTACTTCTGTGAAAAATTAGATAATGTTTCTATGGGTTAGATATATATATATCTTTGCTTGACAGAAAGAGAATAAGCGTTCATTTGATCTTGATCCTTGTGGATCGAATAGGGTAAATACTTCTGCTACGAAAAAAGGTTGTGATAAGAAACACTCAATTTTTCGCAGCATGTTTATTTTTTTATCGACTATCAAGACATGTTTTAGTATTCGACCATGGTCAAGGGACCTTTGGCCTTAAGTTGGTCATGTCTTGGTCTGGATAAATTCTATGCTATGTGAAAAATATTATGTATTTGTAAAGAATCAGGGAGGGAGTTGCTGGTGGCCTCTTTTGTTCTTCTATAGTACTTACCCATTTAAAGCTTCTATAAACAAGTTACATTGAATAAATATGCTGGCAAAATTAGGCATATCATTGAAAATGAATTTATTTTCAATCACGTTCTTTTTGTTATACGAATTAATGCCTTTAGTAATGCATTCAGGAGCACATTGTAAAAACTTCCTATGGATTTGTTAATGTTGCCGTATTTGGGGACCAGGACAAGCCCGCTTTGATTACATATCCAGATATAGCTTTAAATCGTAAGTGATCTTACATTTTCATTTTACTTGTTATATGAATAGATGTTAACTGAAACAGGTGGTTTTGAAGCATTACATGACAGTTTATCCCTTATTATCATTATGGTGATCTCACCTCGTTCTTGGATCTGAGTTGTTTGAGAAATTTGAAATTGTTGCTACTTTACAATTTTTTTGCTCCACTTATTGCGTATAAACAGAATTATTACATATTTGAAAAAAATGATCTTGCTTTGTGCTTTTCACCTTCATAATCTTCACTTGCATCGAATGATATTTGGTGAAAAATGAGCATTGAAGCAAGTCAATTAATGGAATATCTCTTCCATCAATAATGATGTGTATGTTTGCCTGTTTGCACAGATATGTCCTGTTTCCAAGGTCTTTTCTTATGCCCAGAAGCATTTTCTTTGCTGGTTCATAACTTCTGCATATACCATATAAGCCCCCCTGGCCATGAGGTCAGTGATCAGTAGCTTTTCAGTTTTTCTTTATAAATTTTCTATGACAAGCATTTTGAATTTCTTCAACTGCATCCTATCTTATATGGTACATCCTTAAGAGCTTTTGCAGTTAGGAGCTGCTGCAATGTCTTATGATGATCCGGTGTTGTCTGTTGATGACTTAGCTGATCAGGTTGCTGAGGTTCTTGATTATTTTGGGTAATCTTTTTCGTTTATTTGGTTCCTATTGTGGATTTGTGGGTAACTGTAGTTTTGGTAGCTAAGAACTTTCTAATAAAGTCTCACCCCTTTAACACATCTCCTTTATGCTCATTTCATCTGGAAGCATCCCTTCCCCCGCCTCTTTGTACAGTAGTAGTTGATTTGGAGGAATTTGAACATACAAAAAGTTTTTTTCTTCTTTTCCTCATGAATTGCTCTTGCAGACTTGGTGCAGTTATGTGCATGGGAGTAACAGCCGGTGCATACGTACTCACCCTATTTGCTGTAAGGCACATCCTTTGTATAACGTGCAAAATTAAATTCTGAATTTGCAAGGTTTAATGGGGTCCCTCTGCATCTTTTGTCTAACAGATAAAATATACACGACGTGTGCTTGGTCTCATACTTGTTTCTCCTCTATGCAAAACACCCTCTTGGACAGAATGGTTGTGTAACAAGGTTCATTGTCAATATGCTTTTCTTTCTTTAACCCACTGGGCTAATGAGTGAGATAACTCTCCATTAACTTAATCAGCTCTTGTTTACAGGTCATGGCAAACGTACTTTATTATTACGGGATGTGTGGTCTTGTAAAGGAGTTATTGCTGATCCGTTATTTCAGCAAGGTGTATATCATCTTCCTGTTTGTGGTACTCATTTGGTTCTTGAATCTTGACAACTAGATGATTTGGTTGTGTCTTGATGATTAAATGACAGGAAGTTCGTGGAGGTGCTATAATTCCAGAAACGGAAATAGTTCATTCATGTAGAAGAGTAAGTCCTCCATTTATCCTAGTTACATAGAGATTGTGAATCATGTTCCTCAGCATGAATTATGCTTTCTGCAGTTGCTTGGTGAGAGGCAGAGTCCCAATGTACTGAACTTTCTTGAAGCTATGAACGGGTAAAATTCTTTTGTAACTATTACTTACTTTCTTGTCAAAAAAAAATCATTGGAATGACGATGACAAATGTTACGTTAATTGTGCTCTATATCTGCATCAAAAGATTGTCAAAAAATATATTTCATAATCTCTTATTCCTTGAGTAAATTATAGACCCCTTTATATACCCTAACTGTTTCCCTCATACTTGGGAAAAGAAAAACAAAAACAAAAACAAACGGAAAAAAATTGCATTTTTTCAGTTCTTTCTACACTTGCATATCGTTTTGAGTCCCAGCTTGTCTCTGTGTTATGTTAACTCAGTAATGACATACACAAAGTGTATGGGTGGACATCAATTTGAAAACTCAATAGAATTTCGAAAATGATTTTAGGATTTCAGCATGGTTTAATGTAGACATATATGGTATTTTGATTATAATGAGTATCCTTAATTCCATGATTTGGCTCAGGATGGTTGTCTAATGTGAAAATCAATTTTTGTTGTCCACAGGAGACCAGATATCACTGAAGGACTGAAGAGATTGCAGTGTCGTTCCCTGATCTTCGTGGGAGAGAATTCTCCATTCAATTCCGACTCTCTCCACATGACTTCAAAACTAGATAGAAGATTCAGTGCATTGGTAGAGGTATGCAGCACAGACTTTTATAGAAGTTCATTACTGTTATATGTTTGACACATCAAGCTTTTTAGCCACCAAGGGACTCATGAAAATGACATAATGAATCACTGATCCACATTTAGTTGTTATCCTATTCGTTTTGCTATTTAACATTATTATTTTCTGGGGATTATTCAGTTATAATGTAATTAGGGATTCTCACTTAATCAAGATACGATTTTTGGGGTCATTTACTTGATGTGAGGAGAAAAATGAGGATGTGACCTACCAAAATGTAGAATGGGAAGCTGAGAAATGGAATAAAGGCACCATCTTGACATCAGTGATTGACCCTTTTTTTCTTTGGTAACCGTGGGTGTCTGGGCCAGCTTGTGTAAGCCCATTGGGTTTTAGAGAGAGCAGCCAATAAAATTTTTAGTGGCCCTAACGAGACTTGAACCGGCAACAGGGTTGCAAAACATCAAGGCCTAGCTTTTATTTGCCAGTTGAGCTGGCCCGCAAGGCTACCCTTTATTCACGAAGGCAATCTATTGGGAGGAGGCCCAAGGTGCCGGTTGAGCTGGCCCGCAAGGCTACCCTTTTTTGGACCTAGCTACTTGGCTTTCATTGCAAACAATATTTCCTTTGAATGCAGAAGGGAACACCACATTTCTTATGCACAAACTCATTTTGGACAAAATTTATTTTCCATTTACATTTCCACACGTGGTTCAAGATCGTTCATTCTTTCAAACTACAACTTCTTTACTTTTTGACATTTTAACAAGAATTTTGGTTAGCTTGTAGGTCCCAATCCCATCCTCTCTACTCCTAACCAATGGTCATTATTTGATTTAACGATGGTTATGTGTATTAATAGGTTCAGGGATGTGGATCGATGGTAACAGAGGAGCAACCAGATGCTATGCTGATACCACTGGAATATTTCCTGATGGGATACGGATTCTACAGGCCCTCTCAGATGAACGTAAGCCCAAGAAGCCCGTTAAGCCCGACTTCCATCTCCCCAGAGCTTTATACACCAGAAAGCATGGGTTTGAAGCTAAAGCCCATAAAAACTCGACTTTCGCAAATCTGAAAGGACGACGGTATGTTTTTTTTTGTAATTCTATGCATCTGTCATGAGATTAGTAGTTTCCAGTTGCATATTATAGGAGGGGAAGAAAGTATGGAGGTATATAGATGATATAGGAGAGAAAAAAATGATAGATTGAAATTATTTAAACTAGAGGAGGATAGTCATGTACAATAAATGCTGTTCTATACTTATGATGGTAAAGGAAATCAATAAATTTTAAAGGTGGGTTACCTTTTTCTGTTTTTGTGAAACCTATTTGATGTTCTTTTTTATATACATCATCATAAGTTAATAAATGAGTGTCTTTCTGCTATCGTATGTAATTCGATTGAAATCAGATAGAAATACTGTATACGATTGTGTACAAGCGAATGGCTCGATCCGGAAGGTGGTTTAACCATTAACCGTTACCATGTTAACGTGACGAACAATGTGACATATGATTGTGTACAAGCATACACATTTTTGTGTACGATACTACAAGTTTACATACTCATTAATAGTGCTTCTGTATGATGCGTGTCGTCGGCATATAAAACTTACATTCTCCCACTTGCACAGTAACACAAACGTAGTAACATGTCATTGCCCCTAAGACTATATGTAAATGCGCTTTCGAAAAGAGCAATTTGATTGATCTAATCAATCATATGGTAAATTCGTTCGTTAAATTTTTGTTTCACGATATTTTGATTTGAACTTAAGACAGAGATCTAATTCATCATTTGAAAGTTCAAGATTATGTTTGTCGATTCCAATAAATTTGTGTTACTAATCCACTTGTGCTTGGCCATCTAACTCGTATAAGTTTATGAAAAATAATCTGAAAAAGAAAACCAAGCATCCATCTATCGAGCAATTATTGAACGCATTGAGTTCGTGCATGTAACTAGAAATCCAAAGTATTACAATTATCGAACCCATCAAACACATTCAGCTCATAATTGTTGCTGAATTTAAAGTAGATCGAACCCATCAAACACATTCAGCTCATAATTGCTGCTGAATTTAAAGTAGATCGAACAATTATCGAATCCATTGAGCTCATACGTGTTATTTAAAATTTTAATGTATTTATCAAATAGTTCTTGAAACAGATCGAGTGAATATACAAATTTCTTGAAATTTAATGTATCTATATCTATACTATATTATAAAGCATTTGACTAAAACTTTTAAAAACTCTTAAAACT